TCTCCTACGTACGTTCTTAGCCTGGTGCCCATGGATTGTTTCTGGATGTGCCTTTGTATACACTTTAGGAGATGAGAGTGCTCAGTTTCTTATCCTGTCCTTCCTCTCTGAGTCATTAAGATTTACTCATTGTTCTTTCTCTCCCAGTCTGAGTGCCTGGAGGAGCTACCCCTAGATGTGCTGCTGTCCTGGTGAGCAGCTAAACTCAGTGTCATTAACACCTGCCACTCCTGGTGTTTCACACCTAGCCTCTCATTTACTCTCCATTCAGACCTATCTTAGCTTTTCTCTTGTGATTCTCTACTCCCCCTGCCTCTCCTGATTGCTGCCAATTGTCTCCAACACTAGGACACTAGCCCTTCAGCGGCTCCTGGGTATCTCTCCCCCTCTGCCCCTTTTGCATGTACTAGTCATCTCCACTTACAAGGAGTTTCCAAACTAGGAGAGAAAAATTAGGACTGAAAAGGAGCAGAGCAACACTGTAAAAAAAATTGAGATGCCCTGGCCAAAACAAACACCAGGCTTTACTGAAAGAGATAGCTAAATATTGAGATGCACTTGGGACCTAGTGGAACATAACCAGTGAGGCCAGATGGAAGGTGAGTACAAGAGCTCTGGCTTAAATAGCTTAGGAATGTTGTGCACCTTCTTGTGGCATTGTTGGGTGAGCTGTGCAACCGAGTGCTTTTTAATTTTTGTTCTCCTCTTCACCTGTGTTATTGCCTTCATCTTCAAGATAAAAATCCAAGCATTTAGTCTCGCTTACTGTTTTGGGTTCTCTTTGATAACACTTGCTACTTGGTGGTTCCCTGCTTTTCTTCCTCTGTCTCCCTGTTAATGAAACTGAGGAAGTGTGCATCAGAGTAGGGGACAGCTGAGGTTTCTGAGCCCTTGCACTTTATCTTTCACCTAATGTGATGCTCTGAGTTGGAAGGTTGTGGTTCAGTAGGCCTCTGTTAAGGTCATGTAGCACTCTTAGGCATCTAGGAAGGCACAAAAGAAAGGGGAAGTTAGGGATGAGACAGAGCTAGTTTCTTACCTCTCCCTCAGAATACAAGCTGTTTGCTCTAATGCTATGTCATGTTCTGCTGTCGTGCAGAGTCCCTTTGGGGAAGGATACTCTGAGGCTCCGGGTGTATAGCACCTACTTGCAAAAAAGTCTGAATCTGTTCAGGGCTGCCACAACAAATCCTAATGGCAGAAGTTCAGGCCTTGGGAGTGAATAAAAGTTAAATTAGTTTTTAGGAATGGCTGGTGGGGCCACCTGGACTTTGCTCCTGAGAATGGAGGTGAAATGCCTACGTAATGTTGTGTATGTCAACATTCATGTCTAGGGAGGGAGCTGACCTCTGTAGAGCTGAGTTGGGACAGATAAAACACACTTTAATCCTGTTAACCTCCTGCAGGCACTGAGGCCCTCAAAAGGGAAGCAGAAGGATGGAGTGCCCATTCCTGACTTGCAAATAGGAATACAAACTGCACTTGAGGGACCTTGGGCTGAGTGCAGGAGAATCTTGTACTGGGAATCTTGTGTTGCTCCCCCAGCTTAGCTTGGTACATTTTTTGGTCTGAAGTCCCAGGCTTTGTCCTAAAGGCGTGAGAACACGGGGCAGTTGCAACTGGTGCCTTTCCAGATGTGCTTCGTTAGGGAGGACATGGGAGCTTCTGTTCTCCTTAGCAATCTCCCAAAGTGTATCTCCCTAGAAGCTGCTATACAGCATATCTATGATGTATCCCTCGTCTAGGTCTCTATTCCCAGCTTTCTGATCAGACCTCACCATTTCTGCCCCCTCTGCATGTGTTATTCCCCTCTCTCCATCTACCTAGACTGTGATAGAAAGGAGCATCTCTGTATTTTTATTGTACATCATATGGTAGACATAGGTTCTCTTTAATGTTACTAACAGCAGTGAATCAGATTGGTAAATATCTGAGCACGTTTATGATGTCAGCTTTTTAACTCCCAAAGAACTGCCATGGTGGTTTAGGTGCTCTAGACACTTTACAGTATAGATTTTATATCTGTGCCTGATTACTTGCTTTACCCAGATAACACCCATGTGTAGATCTGTTGATCCTATAGTTCAACTACTCGTGACTTCTGTCAGAATCAAGCCCATGATATCTCAGTGTAGCACACTAGTTAAATATTGATTTCCTTTTCTCTTAGATTTGCTTGAAGCCTTTCTTATCTTTAACCAGTTATGGATTTAGTGCTACTATGAATTCAGATAATGGACTAAATGATTAACAAAACCTGACAGAGTCAGATTTCTTCTACATAATCTGCAAGTCTTGCAAAAGCCAACTTCCCCAAGGCAAGCAGCACTTTAACCAAGTAAGGGAGACCAGTCAGCACTAGCTTTGACGTGATGAGCAATCAGGGTGGAAAAAGCATGATGAGATGTTTTTTTGTGCCTAGGGTGGTGAATTTGTATATGCAGCAGTTTCAGCACATGTGTATACATATGTACAGGGTGTGTCTTTTGGAATGGTTTACTGGAGCTTTTGGAAAAGAAGAGTTAGGAGGCATCACTCAAGCATGATGTCTGATATTGCCATCTTCTCCATTGATCTCAGAGCTGCTTTTATACAGTAAGCATTGGAATCTGCTTATCAATGCATTCAGTAGAGAAGGCAATAGTATAATCATCATGCAGTTCCTCCTGGACCTATTTCTCATGCACTCTTGCTGGTTCAATTCCCTGAAATACTTCATGAGCTGTATGAAATTTAACATTAGGCAGGATAAAACACCCTGTGTTAAAAAACATTCTGGATCCTCAGGGCAATGAGAGCAGAATCCTAAAGAAAGCAGTGGAGAAAGAGATTTGAAAATTTTGTGTCTAGTGATTTTGGAGGCCATGCCTGACTTGACCAAGTGGTGGCAAGTCTTGGCCCGTGTGAAAAGCTGGACTAGAAGGAACCCTCAGGACCACATTCAAACAGATGTTTTTGTGATGCTATGGCTCAGGCTGAAGGAAGAAAGGAAGAAGAGAGCAGGGCCTTCAGCACAGAGCAGAACTCATAGTCCTCAGTAACTTCTTATCCACTGTGTGTGCTTGGACACGTGCAGGACATGTCTAGTGTGACCAGAACCTGTAAGAAAGGAGCAAAGTTCAAATCACCTGCAAACAAGAATAATGCTTTTCAGCAGGACTCCTCAAAGCCTCACTTTTTCCTAGGTCTCTTCCCCCATGCCCAGGACAGCATCATGGTCCCTCCTGCTCTGCAACCCCATAGTGGCAGCCAGATCAGAGACTCAAGGTAGCAGGGGCTAAGGAGCAAAAGCAAAGACCTCAAACCTGCACTAAAACCTGCATGAGATCTGAAACATGACCAGGTTGTTCTTTCCTTGCTATCACAACATATAAAGCGAAGCCTGTAGCATTATTTGTTTAATGTCACTCATTAAAAGCAACAGGGCGTTGCTAAAGCTTTACACTGGGCTAATGCCTTTGCTGTCTTTCTGCAAAGACCACATCCTTTAATCTGCAATAAAGGCTGACGGTTTACAAGGCAAATGCCCCTTTTTGTGGATGAGCAGCACAAAGCAGTGCTGGCACCCACCAGCCTACAGAGCGGTGGGTGAGAGAAAAGTACAGTACACAACATCAGGCTCTCATCAGGCTTGTTAAGAGTATTTATCTTTTTAACCACAGTCCTGGCCACTGTTTTCTATCCCTATATTGGCACAAATCTTCCTCAGCAACAGTATGAGCTAGATAACAGGATTAGTAAAATGATACAGCTGAAAAATACTCGTAATTGGGGTGGGACATGAAACAGGTTGACAATCATAAGGTTCTTGAAGAAGCCTAGAAGACTGCTGCTTGAAGAATGGGCTACAGAAAAGCCAGAGCTTACAGCCAGATGCTGTATTTGGCAGATTTGGTTCCTCCCCACATCTGGGGTCTCTGCCTATTTCTTTGCATCAGGATGAGCTTAGGCACAGGGGGCAGAGAAGTGGATTTTCCATTCCATGAAGTGTGGGAGGAGCAGTACTGTTTCCCAAAATTGGCATCCACCAACTCTGTCTGAGGAGCAGCTGTGCAGCTGAAGGTAACTCTCAAGAGTAACCTGAACTTTTAATTGTCCTCCTTCAGCGAGTTGTTCTCCTGCACCACTGTGCAGACACTATGTGGAGCAGCAAGCTCATGACTCAGAAAATGCTCACCTTTGCTCTCAAGCACACAGGCTCTTTTTTCTCACTCTCCCAGGCACATGACAAGAGAAAATTGTCTCCGCAGCTTGTTGAGGGGCAGTGAGTATTTAGGGTTGAAATACGTTTAAAGACAGAGATGTGCATGCTCGGTGAAACACTAGGGCAAAAGTCTTCAATGTAGGCAGATTTTCCTCAAAGGAGGAAGTTAAATCACAAAGGAAACATGAACTTAAGTCCATTTCTGACCCACAGAGTGACTGAAGATAATATTCAGCAAACTTGATCCTTGGGTGTACCTATGGCAAAACCTGCCCTTCTGACAGATCTCTAAGGCTACTTCACTATCCCCATAAACTCACCTGCTGACTCCTGTCAGCCCTGTAGAGCAGTGTAGCTTCCTAGGTGTGGGTGTCTTCTGTCTAGTGCATCAACAACATTGAGTGCATCAGCATGCCTGGAGGGAGGCAGCTGTCGGAAGGGGAAGAGATGAGCCTTTGGAGTTTTTATTATTGTTACTGACTGGGTAGCTAGCGGTACGTTTCAGCTTAGCTGAGCTTTAAATTGATCTAGCAAGAGGTGTTGTTAGAAGAAAGCAATGCTGTACAGAACTGCAGAGGGTAGTCAAACCGGAGACAATTAATATGGTGACTTGACAGCCCTGCTATAAATCATACTTATAAACCATAAAAGTGAGCTTTTCCTGCATTCACAACACCAAGGAGCTCGGGGAGACAGAGCTGATTTATAAAGACAGTAGTGTTTGGGAATGGGAAGACGAGGAGAAGCCTTGACCACAAACCAAAGGAAATAGGATATTCCTGCTTTCACACGTTCTCCTGGCCGGGAACACATGGCAGCACGGAAATGCAGCCTGGAGGACAACGGGTCACCCCAGCGAGATGCCCTGACCTCCCCGGTCCCAGCAAGGGAGCACCCGGGGGAGCACGCTGCCTGTGGAGGGGTAAGATCGGAGTGTCACTGCCGCTCTGGGAAGGGCTCACAGGGCTGCCTGTGGCCCCAACTGACCCGGCTGGACTGGACACATGCCCTGGGTATGATGACCTTCCTAGAAAGTGGGAGGAACAGTGGGTGCTTCCTCCCCCTCCCCGGCCGTGCCCCCCGTGCCGGGGCGCGCAGGAGCCGCGGGCATTTCAGCGGGCACCTCGTGTCCGACGCCCACTCCCCGCGTCGGGGGTTCCCAAGGAGCGAACACCGCCGCTTTCCCCGTGCCTCTCTCCCCGCCCCGGGAAGGCGGGCTGACAGCGCGGGCAGCCCGCGGCGCCCCGGCGCAGGGGGGTTGTCCGCGCCGCCGCCCCGGGCCCCGCGTTCCCGGCCGGGGGCAGCGGCTGCCCCGGCGCGGTTCACGCACA